TTGAGGCTATGCTTAATCTAACTAGAAAAGAATATAGATTATCATTTTTTTTGGTTAAAGATATAGATTATCATGAATAAGTGCTTCTAAATCTTTGAATCCTTATCAAAAAGGTAATCTTTAATTTTTTTTTTTAAATTATAGCCTCGTATAGTACTTTCCTCTTCCTTTTGTGAATTATTAATTTACTCACATGGAGCTGTGAGTAACTTTCACTGAATTTGTTGTAACAGCGCAGATTTTAAGCGGCACAACAAGTTCGAGTCAAGCACAGAGTCAACAGACTATCCTGGGATGTGGCAGGTTCCTACAATTCCCAAGCATTGTTGTATCTACAGAGTCCCAAACTCTATCCGTAGAGTAAATCCAGAAGCATATACCCCTCAACTAGTCCTCATTGGACCTCTTAACCATTCTTTAAAATCTCAAGCCCTCAAATGTCGTGGAGATGTCACAAACGCAAAGTCTATGGGCTACTTAAACATGGAGGCGCACAAGAAGTTTTACCTAGCGGAATTTGCCAAAAGGGTTGATGAGGAAAAGACCATTGATGGATTCAGGAGAATGATTAAAGCAGACGAAGATATGATCAGAGCAAGCTACTCAGAATCAACGGCCTAGATTAAATCTTCTGAGTTCGTGGAGATGATCCTGCACGACTCTGTTTTCATAATAGAGTTCATTCTGAGACTTGGCTACATGGTATCAAGACCTGATCAACTATTACGGGATCCTCTCATGGACGAGCCTTGTCTTATGAACACAGTCAAGGATGATCTTTTCACCTTACTCGAGAACCAACTTCCTTACTTTATCCTCGAGAAGCTCTTTGGTCTACTCCTCCCAACAATCCCCCCATACAAGAGTCTCCGCCAAATGATAATCAGCCTCTTTGGCTTCACTGATAAGATCAGTAACAATTCAACGTTCAAACATTTCACTGATTTGATCAGGTGTGTCCGCGTAGAAACACTTCCAGATTTTGCTCCAGGGACATGGATAGGGCACATAAAACATATGTATAACATGGAAAAACTAAATAGTGGAGGAGTGAAATTCGAGGCCGTAGAAAATGACTTCTCGTTGTGTGTGAGGTTCGACAACGGTTGTTTGAAGATACCTTGTCTCACGGTTTATGACGAACTTGAGATGACACTCAGAAACATAATGGCTCTTGAGCAATGCCATTACCCTAAGAGCGCCCATGTCTGTAACTACGTTATCTTCCTGGATCACCTCATCGATACTGATAAAGACGTCAACTTGCTTGTTGAAAAAGGTAACATGTTTATCATTTATATCGGTCTATATATATGTGTGTGTACGTCTTGATTGATTCCTTGTCGTTTTGGGTTTTGTAAGGGATAATACAGAATCATATTGGGGAACACCGGTTGGTGGCAGAGATGGTGAACAAGCTCTGTTTGGGCATCCGCTTTTGTGGTTCTTACTATTCTGATATAGCGGCTGCTGTCAACAATTACTATAGAGACCCATTCAATAGGTCACACGCCGTCCTCAAGAGCGTGTATTTCGGTAACCTATGGACAGGGACGGGTACCGTGGCTGCCATGTTATTGTTGCTCATGACTCTCATCCAGACCGTGGCTTCGATCATTCAGGTAATGCAGAACCACAGATCCTCTAAATAATCTGTTCGTGCTTTCTTTTGTGATAATTAAGATTACAACAAAATAGACATATTTTGGTC